GGAAGTGTCTGGACTCAGACCTCTGCAGAAGCCAGGGACATCCTGGGACCAGCTGTATGAGAAGTGTGGAGTCCCAGGTCCCAACGTGATCTTGAACAAGATCTCCAGCAGCATGCATGGCCACCAAGGTCACAGAAGTCCTGACAGAGACCAGAGGTCCCCACTTGTCACCCACAGGATTCCCCCAGGGCTCGTGAACACGGGTGGCTGCCTTACCCCACTCCAGGCACAGACTCAGCTGTGGGGCGGTGCCCTGAGCTCCCACTCAGACTGTAGTGTCCCCTTGGGATCTCGACCCGGGCTGCGGGTCCAAGTCACCTGAGGACACCTGAACCTGCCTCCAGGAACCCCGATGGGCTGCACCGCTTCCCCTCACCACAGAACCCAACAAAGCGGGGCTGCCCTCCAATGTCCCGTGTGGAAAAGAGACTCTGTCACACTGAGCGTGCCTGGCGATATGTACAGCACTCAAGCTTTACTTGTCAGTAATGTCAGCACTTCACGGGATGAGCCTCACGACAGTTATGCTATTTTCAGCAAAGGGGTTACAGTGACAGAGCCCAGCCCCTCCGGTCCTGCCTGTTGTCTCCAGCAGGTGCAGACTGCCTCATACACCTGGACGTTCACACATCTCCCCGGACACCTGCTCTTCCCAGTGCCACCTCCCCCAGGTCACTGGGCTGGAGGGAGGGGCCAAGGCTGGCTCCCCTGCTTCTGTTTCTGGTCACCGCAAGGGACAGCTGGGCGAGGTGACCCACACCCAGAGAACTCACACCCTCAGTGGCTTGACCTGTCCTTTTACTGCAGGATTTTTTCTTCATGGACATTAAACTTAGGAGTTTCAATGAAAGATGAATTTTATAAAGCACACAGCACTCACAAAAGTGTCCATACAGCCCCCAGTCAGTCCCCAGCCCCCAGGCAGGGACTACAGTGGCCTCATGATGGGACCAGGGAACTGCAGAGACAAAAGACAAAGAGGGGGGCTGGGCCCGGGTGCTGTTGTTCTAGTTCAAGTACCAGCAATGGACCTTCTAGATGCAGAGCAAATCAGCTGAGATGCTCGGGGGACATAAGCTTGTTCCCCACTTTAAATGTTTGCCCTTTTGCTGAGTGTCCTGAACCATCTGCAGTCTCCCTTCTAACTCTCGTATAGGCAGGGCTGCCCTGGGGGAGGGAATCATGAACCCCCAATAGATTACAGATGTGCCAATATAAAAGGAATGGTCCAGGGACAGCCACCTGGGAGAGCCCCACGAGAAGATGTCACATCAGAGTCCCGTGTGGCAGAGGTGGTGATGAAAGAGGCTGAGAGAGCAGTGGCTGGACTGTACAGAGGGAAGGATGGCTGAGGGTATGGGGGGACAGGGAGACCCTTGTGGCAGTGGCTGGAGGGTACAGATTGACGGGCAGACAGCCCCACGCACACAAACCCTTCCTTCTTGATGGCACACGCCACCCTGCCCGAGACTCCCAGTGGGCAGTCAGCTGACACAGGTGGGTGAGGCAGGCTGCTCACACAGTGTAAGTCTTAACCGACTTGTAGAGGGGTGGGAGCAGCCCATGGTTTTCCCGGACGATCTCCAGGTACTCTGATGGCGTCTCCAGCAAGAACGGTCCACAGCACAACTGGCAGCAGCACCTGACCCCAGAGGGTGGCTCCGGGTTCTTGTCAGACATGGGGGAAAAGTCAAAATCAGCCACCTATGGTGAACAAAATCCCACCGGTCAATCACCACCCACCAGGAGCCCTGTCAGGTGGCCTTACAAGCTCCGCAGCAGGGTACGGGAAGCATCCCCCCCACAACACGTACACGCAGGGTGAGGACAGGAGGAGCTAAGTCAGCTAACTGGACAACTGTGCCCAGTCTGCAGATGTCTCCTGGACACATCACCCCAACACCTAGGACCTTTTTGAGCCTTTGCAGTCTTAGGGATCAAAACCAGGGCTTTACAGGCTCAAAAAGTCAGAGGCCATGTTTTCCTTCATATGTGGAAGCTAGATCTATGAGTTAAATGTACATATAGAAACATATATGATCATGTATGTGTGTGTGTATATATATATGCTCACATATAGTGAGACAGAAAATAAAACTGTATTAGTGCATCTGTCTGGGGGACTACAGGAGGCAGGAGACATGAAGAAAATGTTAGGGAATGTAAAATATTGAAACAGCCCATCTGTATTTGAATATAATATAATGCACTGTACAGTGAGCTCGTGAATGTTAGGGGAGCATGGCGACAGAGAAAGAGGAAGTAACGAGGGGAGGTTAACTTAATTAAAGCATGATATATGCAGACCAAAGGACCAAGATGGAACCTCTTTGAGCTATCAATATGCACTTAATTTTAAAAAATGAAGGGCAGGGGGAGAGGCGATGAAGGAGCCTGGTGGAGGGGTGACTTCAAGCCTGATATATTTGATATATTGTAAGAACTTTTGTAAATGCCACAATGAACCCCCACCCAGCACAACAAAAAGGAAATATAAAAACAAAATGAAGGGCAGGAGGGAAAAATAGGTCTTTTCTGGGGGTGGGTGCCAGTGGAAGGGGTGGTCCCAAGTAAAAGGGGAATGAGGGTGAATATGGTGGATGTGTTTTGTATCCATATAGGAAAAGAGAAGAATGAAACCTGTTAAAATTGTTCTAAGAGGTGGGGAGGGAGAAAGAGGGAGAAGGATGGAGGGGGCAAATCCAACTAAGATATATCGTAAGCACATATGCAAACATCACCATGTATCCTCTGCACAACTGTTACATGCCAAACAAACAAACAAACAAACAAAAAAACAGGGCTTCACACATGCTAGGCAAGCATTCTATCACTGAGCTACATCCCAGCCCCAGGGACCTGAAGCATCAGAACCTCTCCAGGGGTCATCCTTACGCGGCGTCCAGTGGTCCAGCCCCCTCACAGAGCACTCACCTCCACCATGTCCTTTTGCTGGGTGGCATTCCTGAGAGTCAAGTACATGATAAAAGCCAGCATCACTGTGATCAGGGTGGCACATGGGAAAGCAAAGACAGCTGGCTGGAAGCCTAGGGGAGACAGACAGACAGACAGACAGAGATGGTACAATATGAGACTTGGTAGCTGGTGCTGAAATGATGGTTTTCAAGATGTAAGTAACGACAGAGAGAACAGTCAACCCCCACCAGTGATGTCTTTTTTACTTCTGCAAATACATGCCAACTACAAAATCCCAATAGGCAAATCCAGGACTTGACAAAAAAAATAATAATAAATTGGGGTGTGTGATTTTAAAATACGTCCACTACTCACCAGGTGTGTTGTGCATGCCTGTAATTCCAGCCATTTGGAATGTGGAGGAAGGGGGATCATGAGTTTGAGGTCAGCCCCAGGGAAAGTTAGCAAGACCCTATCTCAAAAAAATATATATGAAGCCAGGTGCTGGTGGTCCATGCCTGTAATCCCAGCTACTCAGGAGGCAGAGATCAGAAGGATTGCAGTTCAAAGCCAGCCCGGGCAAATAGTTCAAGAGACCCTACCTTACAAAAACCCATCACCAAAAAGGGCTGGTGGAGTGGCTCAAGGTGCAGGCCCTGAGTTCAAACCCCAGTACCACTAAAAATAGATAGATAGATAGATGGTAGATAGATAGATAGACAAACATTAAAAAAAAAACTGGAAGTTCAAAAAAAGTCCACAAGCTACTTCATAGTAAATTTTAAAATTTTCGTCTATGTGTGTGTGTGTGTGAGATACCAGGGATTGAATTCGGGGTCTTGTACTTGCTAGGCGACTACTCTACCACTTGAGGCCAACCCCTTTTTGCTTTTTAGTTTGTTTTTCAGATAAGGTCTCATGTCCACTTTGCATGGGCTGGCCTCAGACCACACAATTCTCATTCCTCCGCCTCCAGAGTAGCAAGGATTACAGACAGGCACTACAACACCCAGCTACTCGCTAAGGGGCAGGTAAATTCCCCACTCCTTGAGTGAGGGCTCAATTCAGTGACTCTCCTAGGGTAGAGAAGATGACAGGAGTGACTCTGGAGTCCATGCCACGAAAAGCATCACTGTTTCCTGCTAGAGCTCTTGGGTGATGTGTTTTGGGGAAGGAAAGTCATGTCGTGAGGACGCCCAAGCAGCACTGGGCCTTCTACCATAGCTTCCAACTCAGTGTCAGCTCCGCACTCACCCACCCGTGGCATGGCAGAGAGAGAGGAAAAGGCCCTGTGCCTGCAGCTAGAAGGTCCTGGGTTCGAATCGTCACTCTGATCAGGCTACCTGACGTTCATGGTGACTCACAGGCTGCTGCTGAGATGCGCCTGTCACCTGGCAGGTGATCAGGAGTTCCCTCATCCTCTGCCATGAAGCTGTGTGTCCCAAGAAAAGGTGATACAATCACTCATCCTGCTGTCCACTCTGCAGACTTCCTGCAGGTTCTGGATGCTTGGCATCCGGGGGCTGCTGGGGCAGCAGGGTCCCAAGGCACCCAATGAGGCTCGTGAGGCCAGCCAGGCCTGGAGTGACATCTTATTGAGGGCTCAGAGAGAGGGACCAGGAGACTGAGGTAATAGGGCCAGTGTTGGGGACACCTACAGAGCCAGTCTTGAGGGCAGGCACGGCTGGCAGGGTTTGGCATGAGCTCCTACCCTCTCCCCTTCTCCAGAAGAGTCTGAAAGCCAGGGTCCAGTCTCAAGCTGACATACTGTCTTCCTGCCTCCCTGTGCCTTAGTTTCTCCTTTTGCAACATGAAAGGAGCAACTGGGTTGGGCATCAGAAAGTCCACCTCCTGGTTTTGGGGATCCTACTTTATCCTCTGTGTTAGGACACAGTCCTGGGTCTGAGTCCTCAGCCACTCTTAGCATGTTCTCAGACACCCCTACTTCCTGGAGGGCACCCCAGCCCTGGAGCCAAGCAGAGTAAGTGAAGGGTGGCGTCTTCACTGGTGGCAACAGAGCTGGGTGAGGGTGATGGTTCTGGGGTGCTGGTGGTGGCATGGGTGCTCATGTTGGGGACATGTGGGGGGCACATTGAGAGGCAAGGTGGTAATGAGACAGCTGAAGTTGGGATGACATGGAGACAGCACAGCAGCACTGGCTTTGGTCACATGGTTGACAGTGGCACTGGGCACAGAGGAAGTAGTCACAGTCTTGTGTTTACAGAAGTGCATGAGGACAGGTGACCAAGGCGATGGGGTAGGCTGCTGCTGGAGCGTCAGTAGTGGTGACAACGGCGCCAGAAGAACCGTTAGCAGTAGGTGCTGGTCACCGAGTTGGTTGTTACTGTCAGGGTGCCGGTGTTGATGGGGGCTTTGGTAGAATGACGGGTGGTGGTCTGAGATGGCGGTTCTGGGTGGGTCTGGTGGTGGTTCTGGGGTTGGTAGAGGGTTGGCGGTGGTTCTGGAAGCTTGTGGTGCTATCAGCAGAGTTGGTCCTTGGTGCTGGGGGCTGTTGCCGGGTCAGGAGGGTCATTTGAGGTACTAGTGTCAGTGGGGCTGGCTGTTGATGACCCTTCAGGAGCACGGGGTGGAGGTGGCAGGGCTGCCCAGGTGTGAGGCATTACTTACTGGAGGGCCACACCTGGATCCTGTGGTACTGGTGTGTCTTGCTGATGACATTCTCGGCTCGGATGCTGAAACAATAGTCCCCGGGGTCGCGGAAGGTGTGGGTCAGGTTGTAAGCCGTGCTGGCCACTGACACAGGGTAGCACTCCCCTTCCTCCAGCGGGAGGCACTCCGGCTTGAGCCTCCAGCACACAGTCAGAGGGGGACTGCAGAAGAGTGGGACACACGCCCTGAAATAGCTCCACACCAAGAATGAACTTCAGTGTCCTTCCCAGGACCTACCCCAAGCTGTCCCACTCCCCATGACACAGTCCAGCTAAGGACACAACGGTACAGAACAGATGACCTGAGTCCCCAAGGTGTCCCCAGGCTAGCGAGGCAGAGACGTGCACAGAATGGTACGCTGGTGACACAGGGGTGTGTAATGGGCGCACAGGGGAAGAGTGAAACCGTCTGAATGAAGAAAGTATGGAAGGCTTCCCAGAGGAGGCGGCATATAAACAGAACCTGGAAGGATAAGTCAGCTTTTGATAGGTTAAAGGGTGGGGGTGTTCCAGTTATCCACGAGCCGCAAAAGCTGTAAAACAAGCCAAGCGTGGTGGTGCACATCTATAATCCCAGCACTCAGGAGGCTGAGGCAGGAAGATTGTGAGTTCAAGCCCAGCCTGAGCTACATAGTGAAGACCCTGTCTCAAAAATAAAAATAAAAAAAAAAAAGAGAGGTGGGGGATGGAGCACGAAGAAGGGTCACAGGGAACTCACCGTGCACTCTGGGCACTCACCTTCCCAGAAAGTTGAAAGTCACTGTCATCTTTTGGAAGGTCTGAATTAGGGTGGGCCCCAGGACCTGGATGCCCTGGAGGGTTTCTGTACAGACAGAGGTGTCCATTAGACCTGTTGGCCACCCCTGGTCCTCTCCACTGTCACTCTCCCAAGGGAGGGACAGTCTTGCCCCCCATACTCCCCATGAACGGCAGGGGCTGGAGTTGCCTCAGAGGAGGGAGGCGGGAGGAGCAGGCAGGGGCCACTCTTGCCCACTACTTTGGAGCCACTGTGTAGGCCACCAGAAAATGACACCCGCTTAGTAAGGCCCAAAGCCAGTGAGAAGTCGGACAGGGTCCCCTCCCCACGCGGTAGACTGAGGATCCCACCTGCCTGGGTGAGTCCTGACCACACACCCACGTGACTGAGGACCAAGGCACAGCGGGGACCAGCTGACTCACGGCAGGTGGCTGGTGACACTCAGGCCTGGGCCCCAATGGCAATGCCACCAAGTGCCACGTGAGCCCCACCTGTGACCCTTGGGTCCGCTCTGAAGTGAAGAGACCACAAGAGAAGGCAGGATGTGCGTCCGAGCTCGGCCACACGCCGGCCTGGAGGGAGTGAGTGGCTCCCCAGGGAGATGGTCACTCGCCTATGACAGACACCTGGGCAGGACACTCACCCTGCAGCTTCAGGGAGGCTGAGAAGTCCCCGGTCTTCTGCATGATACCCTTGGAGGCGTCCACCTGGGTCTGCTCCCACTCTGCCACCACCTTGACCTTCACTATGAAGGCGCCCGTAATGGAATAGTTGTAGTAGACCATGGAGTCCTCTGTCACCATCTGGGTCCTGCAAGGTGACAGGGAAGAGGAGGGAGGGAGTGGACAGGTTGTTTCCTCTTCTTGTAACTCAGAAGTGACTCCTCGTGGGGCTTGGGAGAATGAGGGGGCGACAGGCAGGTAGCCGTGCACACACCTGTCACTGCTGTGACAACAGCCACCCCTCCCCTCCTGAGACTGGGACCAGGGCTTCAGGTCACCTGGGCATTTCACAGTTGAGGAACCTGAGGGAGGGAGGGCGGGGAAAGTCACGTCCTTTCCTTTCCTCTCCATACAGGGCTCAGGTGTGGATGAGAAGTTTGAGTCCCCTAAGAGGTGACAACACAGCCACTGGCCTCACACTACACTGGGGAAACTGGCCAAGCTCATGGCGTGTCACCTGTCAGAATCGTCCTCGGGTTGCTATACCAACCACCGGATGCCTTCATTAGCACCTGCAAACCTGATGCTCAAACAGTGTCTGACTTACAGACCGAGCCAGGGAATCTTGATTCTGAGTTTTGTTGTTTTGTTTTGCAATACTGGAATTTGAACTCAGGGCCTTGTGCTTGCTGGGCAAGTGCTCTACCCCTTGGATCACACCCCCAGCCCTTCTGATTTCACCACTCAGCAGGTGGTGGTTGTTGGTTCCAATAGCTCCTTTTTCTAGTTTACAGGGAAAATATGGACAGTCCATTTCTGCTACTTCTAGCACTGTGGCATCTCAAGAGAGGCTCGGCTGAACATGGTGGTGCACGAATGTAATCCCAGCACTTGGGAGGCTGAGGCAGGAGGAGGATGGAGAGTTCCAGGCCAGCCTGGACAAAACTCCATTTCAAAAATCAAGAGAGAGCCAGGTGCTGGTGGCTCCCGCCTGTAATCCCAGATACTCAGGAGGTAGAGATCAGGGGGATCATGGTTTGAAGCCAGCCCTGGCAAATAGTTGGTGAGACCCTATCTCGCGAAACTCCATCACAAAAGAAAAGGGCTGGTGGAGTGGCTCAAGGTGTAGACCCTGAGTTCAAACCCTAGTACCCCCCCCAAAAAAAGAGAGAGAGATCTCCTATCTTTTCTCCCTTAACTATTAAAATAATGAAGCAAAAGAATAGAGCCTCTAACCGTGAGCTTCATAAATGTACGCTACCATCCACGTACACACAGGTTTTTGCTTGTTTACTATTTGGGTTTTTTGGGGTTTTTTAGTATTCTAAGACACTGTTGACTTCAACACTTATCAAATTAGAAGATCCAGAATGACCCAAAACCCCTCGAGTAAAAAAAATAAAAATAAAAAAGATATCACACAGGGCTGGAGGCTTGGCTCCAGTGGTAAGCACCTGCCTCTCAAGCATGAGGCCTTGAGTTCAAGCCCCGGTACCACCAGAAATAAAACAAATGACACTCACTGATTTAATATTTTCAAATACGATCCTAGGGTTCTGTGTGTGCAGCACAGTGTGAACAAGGTAGGCTCACTGTACACACACACACGACTTAAATAATTTGGCCTTCTTTCATATTTTTAAAGTGTAATTTTAATGTGCAATTTTTAAATAATTTGTAATTTTAAATTAGAAGATTTTAAATTATATATGTGGCTTGAATTCTATTTCTTGGGACAATGGAACCATGGCTTACAGGGAAAGGAAGAAGGGTAAGCAGTGAGTTGGGGGGGGCTGACAATCACAGAGTCAATCACACATCAAGGTCCATGACAAAGTAGTCAGTCAAATGTGTGCAATGGAGCCCTGGTGTGGACTGAATTGTGTTTGCTCTAAATTCATATGCTGAGCCGGGTATGGTGGTGCACACCTGTAATCCCAGCTACTCAGGAGGAGGAAATAGGAGGATCGTATTAAAGTCAACTAGGGCAAAAGTGAGCACAAGACTCTTTCTGAAAACAAACTAAAGGCCAAAGGACTGAGGCTCAAGTGGTACAGCACCTGCTGAGCAAGCCCAAGGTACTGAGTTCGAGTCTCGGTTACTCAAGAAAAAGTTCATACGCTGAAACTCTTAACACACAATGTGACTGTATCCAGAGATAGGGTAGAGGAGAGAGGGGGTAACTAGGCCAGGCGAGATGGCTCACACCTGTAATCCTGGCTACTCAGAAGGCAGAGATTGGGAGGACCACAATCCAAGGGCAGCCTGGGCAAAAAGTTAGCAAGACTCCATCTCAACAAACGAGCTTGTATGTGGTTACCTCCACGCCCTGCTATGCAAGAGGAGGCAGAAGTAGAGGAACTTTGGTCTGAGGCCCACCCCTGTCAAAAGCTCAACACACTGTCTGAAAAATAATTAGAAGAAAAAGGGCTGGGGCCTGGCTAAAGTGGTAGAGCATCTGCTTAGCAAGCGTGAGGCCCTGAGTTCAAATCCCAGTGCCACGGGAAAAAAAAGGGATAAAGATGACATACCCATCTCCGAAGTCCCAGCTGTAGAGGAAGGAGGCAGTCTTGAAGAAGTTGCTAGGGTCGTGCAGGAGGAAGGAAACTTTGAGCACTGTCTTGGTGAGGTAGGAACTGGGCCATGGCAGGGAGGTGTTTTGGGTGACAACGAGGTTCCCCACTAGGGACTCTGCAAAGGCAGGGGAGCATGAGTCCACAGAGGTGCAGGGCTGGGGGAGCCAGGGAGTGACTTCACCTCCCGGGCAGCCAGCAAAGCTGTGGCAACCCCACCCAGACCTTCAAGTCAGAGTGAGTTGGAGAGAGGGGACCTTGCAGGTCCCTGAGCACAGAGGCATCCAAGTCATCCTGCTATGTGGGCACTGGTGACACCCAGTATATGTCACACGCATAGCTTGTGCCTCTGTCCCCCTTCCCCTGGGACTCAGAACTTCCTGGCAAAAAATGATGCCCACAAGAGCCAGGCATGGTGACACACACCTATAATCCCCGTATTGGAGGTGGGGTAGGGGACTGAGGCAGGAGTATGGGGAGTTTCAGACTAGCCTGGCTACATAGCAAAACTCAGTCAGAGAGAGAGAGAGAGAGACAGAGAGAGAGAGAGAGAGAGAGAGAGAGAACGTGCAGGAGACAATTATGTCAAAGGAGTGTCATTTTCAGATTCTTTTTAACAACTGATGCCCAAGAAGGAAGCCAGGGTATAACTCGCTCTGACGTAATAGCAAGCACAGGGCTTGTGGCACCTCACCTGTGATCGGGAGGACCACGAGACTCCTGGCCACCGGCTGGCACATCCAGCAGTCAGCAGCGGTGACCCAGACGGACACCGGGAAGTCCCCGGGCACGTTGGCCACCACGCGGATGGTAGAGGTGAGGTCCGCCTCGACCTTGCTGGTGAGCAGCAGCGGGGTGTGGATCCAGTGGAAGCTGTACAGCTGGGCGTCGGTGGGCAGGGTCAGGCTGCCATTGTCCCTGGCCACCAGGCTGGCTGAGATGGTCACCTCTGCTCCCGTGGTGGCAGGGCCATCGGTGGTGACATTGAGTTCATACAGACCTAGGATGGTGGACACAGGCTGGGTTTTAGGAGGGGTGTGGCAAGGACCCCTCCAGCCTTCCTTGGACGGTATCTGTGATGATACCCATTGATGGTCCCCATTGATTTTGGGGGGATATGTCTCAAGACCCCCTGCCCAGTAGGATGTCTAAAACTGAGGACAGCACCCAACCCTGTAGATCCTAGACTTTTTCCTATTCATACGCCCCTATGATAAACTTCAAATTTAAATCAGACATTAGCAACAGTTGCTGATAAAAAATAGAACAGTTACAAGATATTGCAACAAAGTTACGTGAGCGCATCTCTGTTCAAAGGCACTGCGGTGGCTCTTGTCTTGTGACACTGAAATGATACAATGCCTACACAATGACATGCAGTGAGAGGAATGCAGACAAATGATGTGGCATTTCTTTTTGGCAGTACTGGGATTTGAACTCAGGGCCTGGCACTCGCCAGACAAGTGCTCTACCACTTGAGCCGTGACCCCACCCTTTTTTTTTTTTTTTTTTTGCTTTGGTTTACTTTTCAGATAATGTCTTGCATTTTTGCCTGAGGCCAGCTTTGGACTGTGATCTTCCTACCTCTGCCTCCTAAGCAGCTAGGATTATAGATGTACACTACCATGTTTGGCTTGTTTTTAAAGAGAGGGTCTCACTAACTTCTTTTACTGGGACTGGCAATCCCCCCAAGTCTGCCTCCCTGATAATATGCCAGAGGACGGATTATCAAGTAATGATGAAGGAGATGGAGTTTTGTGTGGCTGGGACCTTGAAAACGGAGCTAAGGCTAAGGGGGTTACTACTGTAGTTATTTTAGAGGGAGAGAAAAGGAGGGTTCAGCAGCTCAAACATCGCACCACTAGCTTATCTTCAAACTACGATTCAAATCTATGTCTGACTGACCCCAGATCACAGGCCCCTTTGGGGGTCTCCAAATTATACTCTTTCATGCTGGTTAAGCAAAGCCTTACAGAGTGTGTGTATAGCTCGGCCAGACCTAAGCAGATAAAGAAAATAACAGTCAATACTTGTCACTGTGGGGCCACGACAGCCATCCCTGTAGAAACCACCATCAAGAAATGCTCACCAACAGCCTGGGGCCAGTGGCTCACACCTGTAATCCCAGCTACTTGGGAGGGTGAGGTGGGAGGATCACAGCTCGAGGCCAGCCTAGGAAAATAGTTCATAAGACCTCATCTCCACAATAACCAGAGCAAAATGGACTGGAGGGGTGGCTCAAGTGGAAGAGCGTCTGCTTTGCAAGTGTGAAGCTCTGAGTTCAAACCCCAGTCCCACTAAAAAAAAAGAAGAAGAAGAAAAAGGGAAAAAAAAAAAAGCAATGCCCACCATGACTTACTCATTTAGACTAGGCTTTCTGTGTCGAGCAAAATTCACATTTGGGAGGTGAAGCTGAGTGAAAGGCACAAGCATTGTCCTGAGTTTAATTCTTTTACTATTTTAGACAGCTGCACAGCATTTGCCATATAAACAAGGTAAGAGTTTGGGGGTTTTGTTTGCTTATTTTTTGTTGTTGTTATTGTCTTTTTTTTTTTTTGTGGTACTGGGCTTTGAACTCAGGGCCTACACTTGAGCCATTTCACCAGCCCTTTTTTGTGATGGGTTTTTCAAGATAGGGTCTCATGAACTATTTGACCAGGCTGGCTTTGAACCGTGATTCTCCTGATCTCTGCCTCCTGGGTAGCCGGGATTACAGGGATGAACCACTGGTACCCAGCTTGTTATTTGTTTCTGAGACAGTCTTAGTATGTAACCCAGGCTGGCCTCAAACTCATAATCCTCCTCCTCAGCCTCCCAAGAACTGGGATTATAGACATGCACACCATTCACAGTTTACATTTCTAAAATAGTGTTGTTTTCCCATCATGGACCCCGCTAGAGCCTGAAGGCCTTGACGGTGGTGAAACAAGCCTGGGGAAGGAGTCCCCTCTGATCCAGAGACAAACCTTGCCCTCCCTCGGCCTCATTTCTAAATCTATAGAGCGAGACCTTCCAGACTCACACCACCCAATATGACAGCCACTGGTCACCATGCGCCATTAAAATGAAACAAAAGAAGCCCGGCACCAGGGGCTCATGCCTGTAATCCCAGTTACTTGGGAGGCTGAGATTGTGAGGATTGCAGCTCAAGGCCAGACAGGTAAATAGTTCTCAAGACCATGCATCGAAAAATCCAACACAAAAAAAAGGTCTGGTGGAGTGGCTCCGAGCAGTAGAGCACCTGCTTGGCAAGCACAAGGTCCTGAGTTCAAATTTCAGTACCACCCAAAAAAAATACACCTATAATGAATACTGGATCTGTCCCACTATGCTATCTCCCAAAGACAACAGCTGTTGTCCCAGTCTTGCTTTCATCTCTTTTTTCTTTCATACATAGAAAGTTTTATATAATCACAGTCATGGTGCCCAGTTTTGAATCATTTTTATTTCCTTGGACAACATAGCAAAAGCATATCTGTAGCTGCAAAGTATCAGTTTCCATTTTTGCATGATAACCCTCATCTTGTCATTACTGCCACCGCACCACTGAATGTGTGACGTGGTCTTTGTCATTTCATTCTTTCTGCAAATGGAATTTTTCCATGGTCCGGGGAGGAGAGCCAGGGTGGATCTAGGCAGGTGGGTGGTATAGAAAGAAGGGTGGAGAGGCCAAGCATAGTGGCTCATGCCTGTAATCCCAGCTACTTGGAAGGCTGAGATCTGGAGGATCACGGTTCGAGGCCAGCCCAGGCAAGTAGTCTGTCTAAAATAACCAGAGCAAAATGGACTGGAGGTGTGGCTCAAGCAGTAGAGCTCCTGCTTTGCAAGTGTGAAGCTCTGGGTTCAAATCCCAGTCTCACCAAAAAAAAAAAAAAAAAGAAAGTGAAAAGGCTGCAGGCCCCACTCTGCTCACTTCTAAGACAAACTCAGCCCTCACCTGGCTCCCTCCCTCCCAGCACTCCCTTGGGCTATGTCCTGCCCAGAGCTACCAACCACACTAATTAAGTGTAAACTATTCCAGTGTGATTGCTTAGATGTGATGAGAACTAGGAATTCATTTTCTCCACACACCAGCCATGCTCCTAGTGCTTAACAGCCACGTGTGGTTAGTGGCCACCCTTGGGCAGTGCACACAGAATATTCTGTGATTGTCCAGTGCGCTATTGACCAGCCGTGGTCTCATCCTTCTTTGTTCTCCTCTCCTGTCACCCTCTGTGGTGGTAATAGGAACCTTTGGTCCCAAGGACCAAACTGCAGGCCTCCATCATTCAAAGTCCTTCCATCCGGGCACCTCCCCTTCTCTGTATCACCACTCCATCCCCTCGCTAAGGGCCACATCCATCCAGGATGGATTCCTGCTCCATCCTGGTCCCTGACCTCCCAACTTCCAGCGCTGCACCAGCAAGGAGCTTCCTGGCCAGGAAAGGTGGGATCCAGATTCCTATCTTAGAGAAACCCATGCTGCGGCCAGAGTAGATCCCCACCTTCTGTGCCTTTCCTGGCCTCAGGGCCTTTGCACATGCTGTCCTCAAGGCTAGAATGCTTTTCTCCACTTGTTTATCCAGGGTTATAAGAACTTCCTGGAAGCCTTCCCTGTGCCCTTGTCCCCTAAGCGCTGTCCTCACAGGCTGAGCACACTGTTGTCACACAGCCACCGGTGCACTTGATCAGACTGTTCACCCACATGCTCCTGATGGCCTGACCCAGCAATGCAGGACACGAGGGAGCTCTTGGGGCACCTGTTGGGCTCTCTCAAATGTGCCCCATTCACCTTTGTGGGATTTTGTGGGACTTTGACTCCAGCCTTTCCTCTTGCCCAAGTCCCATGTCCTCTCTTCTGTCCTTCAGAGCCTTTTGTTTTTTGGTGGTGGTGGTGGTGGTGGTGGTACTAGGGTTTGAACTCATGACCTCACGCTGGCTAGGCAGGTGCTCCTCCATTTGAGTCACTCCACCAGCCCTGTTTTGTGTTGAATATTTTCCGAACTATTTGGCTTTGAATCGTGATCTTCCTGATCACTGCATCCCAAATAGCTGGGATTACAGGTGTGAGCCACTGTTCCCAACCAGAGCCATTTCTTGAATGGATTATTGAGTCAACACTCCTAGAGCACTGCTACTCCCTCCCTTTGGCTGGGAGGTGGCTACACAGGGAGACAAGACCTCGTCCTTCCTTCTTCCTCTGCCCATGCGCCTGGTGGAGGACGAGCCTGGGCCAGACAGAGGCTGCAGGTGGCCGCGAGCTAATGGCTACAGTATCTCTAGTGAGCTGAGCTGAGCGCATGTCAGCATGACGCAGAGCCAGCGGTTGCCATGGGGACGGAATCAGGCCCGCAGCTGGCTGAGGCTGGGAGGGGGAGGGGCGGGGCTTGGGAGCGCCTGTGGCCTTTGCAGACCTTGCAGCAAACCTGGCCCAACTCATGGGAGACCCTGCCTCCAAGAGGCCTCAAGGTGCTTTTCCTCGGGTTAGATTTTAAAAAGCAGGGCTGGTGGAGTGGCTCAAGTGGTAGAGCACCTGCCTAGTGAGCATGAGGCCCTGAGTTCAAATCCTAGTGCCACAAAGAAAGAAAGAAAAAGAAATTGCATTTAGCCAGGCACTGGTGGCTCACGGCTGTAATCCTAGCTACTCAGGCAAAGATCAGGATTGTGGTTCGAAGCCAGCATGGGCCAGAAGTTTGCGAGACGCTATCTCAAAAAAAAAAAAAAAAAAAGCACAAAAAAGAGCTGGTGGAATGACTCAAGGTGTAGGCCCTGAGTTCAAACCCCAGTACCCCACCCCCCAAAAAAAGCCAAGCAGGTGTTGGCTGGGCCTGGTGACTCACACCTGTAATCCCAGCTACAGGAGAGGCAGAGATAGGGAAGATAGTTAGAGGCCAGCCTGGGCAAAAAGTTAGTGAAACCCCATCTCAACCAACAAGCAGGACATAGTGATGCACACTTGCCTGTGGTCCTGTCTATGCCAGGCTGGCTGCAGGCAAATATGAGAGACCCCATCTGAAAAATAACTAACGCAAAAAGAACCGGTGGAGTGGCTTAAGTCATAGAATGCCTACCTAGCAAGAGTGAGGCCCTGAGTTCAAACCCCAGTACCACAAAACATAATAAAATAATAATTTAAAATAAACTGGTAATACAAAGACCACGTGGATGATGGTCTTTTTCTCCCTTGGGGCTTTTGGAGGTGGACCATGGAGGACTTCCCATATGAGGTGGACGGAACCAAACCCAGTGTCTGCCGCTCAACCAATCCAAACCCGTCTTCTCAGGTTTGGGAGCTCAGGTGACTCAGCCTAGGACAACAGAGTCCAGATGCCAAGGAAGGGACTTGGGGACTCCACAGGTGCCAAGTGATCCTGAGCTAAAGTAGCCAAAGCAAAAAAAAAAAAAAAAAAGGGGGCAAGTGTCCCCAAGCCTGGCCCTGGGAGAAGTACTCACCTACCTGTCCCCACAGCTTCCACTTGGAGGGAACATTCTAGCAAATGACCTCTCCAGCACTTTTGTCATAGCACAGGAAGAGAGCCCAAGACACTCCTGGTGACACCCTAGAATTAATTAATGGGGCTGTGCTGGACATCTGATTTTGGGGTCCCTGGGATCCACACAGGCTGACCTACACCCCAGAAAGGGTGGGAAAGATTTTTGAACCTTTACTTTTCTCCTACTGGAATTTCAGCCATATCAAGTGTGCAATCCAACAGACTGGGAGCCACAGTTGATTTGCAAAGAATTAATTTTTAAAGAATTGATTTGCAGCCAGACCGGTGGCTCACCTCTGTAATCCCTGCTACTCAGGAGGCAGAGATCAGGAGAATCGCGGTTCCAAGTCAGCCTAGGCAAATAGTTCACGAGACCCTATCTCGAAAAAGGCTGGTGGAGTGGCTCAAGGTGAAGGCCCTGAGTTCAAACCCCAGTACTGCCAAAAAAAAAAAAAAAGTTGATTTGCAACGCAGGGCACGCTGATCATTTATTTCCAGGCATATATAAAACCCTAACGGACAAGAGCGACCCTTCTATGTGAATTCCCAGGGGCCGGCAGGTAGCCCAGGAACGATCCCTACGACGTTGTCCTAATTCGAGCCTAAAACGCAGGGTTTTCCCTTACCGTGTGGTTTTTCCTTTCACACGTGTGCGTCGGGGCCCTTCCTTTTCCTGCCACTCTTTCATGGGGGTAAAATGTGGGATACTAACTCCCCCTTCCCATAGCTACCCACGCTCCACCTGTCCCCCCACTGGCTCTCCAATTTGGGTCCTTTTATTGATCCCAAATTGTGACATAAAGCTTGTCGCTGGCCTTTGGGCAATGGGAAGGGAGGTGGGCGCCTGCTGGGCCCTGGAGGAACCTGTCACCTCAGGGTCCATTTTGGAAATCAGGAGCAGGGAGGAAATGGCAGGGTGGCCTCCTGGGTTCCAAAAATCTCACCACCCTTCCTTCTCTCGCCAGCCCAGGATAAGCAGGATGGTGTCGCCCCCAGAAAAGGCGACATCAAAGGGGAAAACGCTCCCTGGGAGCCTGTGGCGTTGATGTCTCCCCTGGTCCACCCCGGCCTCCCCACATCGTCCTCTGTGTCCCCTCTCCCAGCGGTTGACAGCCAGGTCCCCAAGCACCGGAATGGAGACGCAATTCCCAAGGCATAGAAAGCAGGGTGCAGGGAGCCACCTCAAGTGCCAGGGCGACTTCTGGGGACAGAGGATGAAGGGACAGAGAGGAGCGCATCGCTGTGCCCCGAAGGGCCTTCTCTCGACTCGCGGTGGCCACAGTGGCCTCGGATGGGGAGGAGCGCGCAGGGCGCACCTTGCCACCTCCGCAGCCCCGTGGACGATCCGGTCTGCGGGGATGGCGGCCGGGCCACCAAGCGCCTTACCTGCAGCCACCCTCGCCGGAGCTAAGGGCAGCAGGCAGGCGAGCCAGAGGATGCGGCCGAGGCGACACCAGACAGCAGGGGCCATGGCGGGGCGCGCCGTGGACGCGGAGGGATGGGGCTCGGAAGCCGCGGGGCGCGCGGTGCAGCCGCAGACGCCGCGCTCGTTCTCGCTTGGGGACGCTGGGTCACTGCGCGCCACCGCCACCGCTCACAACCCGCCGCGCGACCCCGGCTCGCTGTCGCCTCCCTGCATACGTCCCTTCCCCGGCCCACGCCCCCCCATCTTGTCCCCTCCCTTCTCCCCCTCCCCAGTCCCGCCCGCGCGCTCTGACTCAGCGTCCCCAGGGGACAGTGCCTTCCGCAGGATGGTGGCTTTTGGAGAGCCACTCTGCGTTCCAGGAACAGGGTGCCAGGCGCTGGGCATAGGGCCAGACGTTTGCTGGGGTCACTTTATTGTCACTGAGGGACCTTGCCACCACCGTTAGATAGCCACAATGAGGGTGAGCAGCTGCTCCTTGGCCAAAGTATTGCAGAGTCTCTTCTAGAAACAAACAAACAAAAAGAGTTACGGAGTTTCAGACATTTAAAATTATTTAACATGGTACAAAGGTCTTTGTGGTTTTTTAAGTGTACTCTACATACAATAAAATGTATTGTTCCAAAATCTGTGTGCCTTTATCAATTACAAATCGTTTTGTAGTATCCACAGTCATCTGTCACAGAAGTCACCTTTAAGGCCCCCTTGAAGGTGATGTTGACGTGACTCTTTGTCTGTAAGCCAGAATTTTCCATAGGTATCACTACCACCCACCAGCTTCACTCCTCTGGGCTGTCACTGGGACCTGTCCCTCATAGAGCCAGAACGTCCCTTCTTCCCAGTCCTGTGCAGGGACACTCATGGGGGAGAGGAGGGAACACTTGCAGACAAACAGCTTTCTACATTAGAGGAATTGGTAGAAATTTAATTTGAGCCGTATGAACCCTGTGTCATTTTAACTCTTTTTTTGTGTGTGTGCAGTACTGGGGCTTGAACTCAGGGCCTTCACCTTGATCCACTCCACCAGCCTTCTTTTGTGTTGAAATTTTTGAGATAGGGTATCAAAAACTATTTGACCAGGGTTACTTTTGAACCCTGATCCTCCTGGTCTCTGCCTCCTGAGTAGCTGGGATTACAGGCATGAGCCACCAGCACCTGGCTAATTTTTTTTTTTAAACAAAGCACTGTACAACTTGAACCACACTTTCAACTCTTGTTTTTGTATTTTGTTGAGACAGAGTCTCAACAAACTCGGATCCTCCTACTTCCACCTCCCCAGTAGCTGGGATTACAGATATGCACCATGCCTGGCCCTATTTACTTCTTAGGAGGGTGACTTTGCTCCTTCTCCCGGCATCCTTGCCTAGGCTCAGCCATGTTCCCAAATGCCTGCTGCTTAGCATATAGCTTGGTGCAAAGTATCTGCTTGTGCCAAATGGCTGAAAGCAACTGATGAAGCCTCCTCTGGTCATGCTCCCTCACAGCCTTAGACTGTGTGAAAGTTCATTTGGACAATTCCTGATCGCTTCCCCCATGCTGGCTCCTTTGTCTGCTTTCATGGACACCATGTCACATGACTCCCACAGTGGGGACTTCCTTTTCCCTGGTGAAGTGAGTATTGATCAGAAGATACTGTATTTGATATGACCTTTGAAAAGATATTTTAGGTGTCATGAGGTCATAAGGGTTGGATCCTTTCCAATAGATTGGTAATTTAATTCGAGCCATATGAACCCTATGTCATTTTAACTCTTTTTTTTGTGTGTGTGCAGTACTGGGGCTTGAACTCAGGGCCTTCACCTTAAGCCACTCCACCAGCCCTTTTCTTGTGATGGATTTTTCCAAGATAGAGTGTCAAGAGCTATTTGCCCAGGCTGGCTTCGAAACGTGATCCTCCTGATCTCTGCCTCCTGAGTAGCTAGGATTATAGGCGTGAGCCATGGTGCCCCACTGGGAAATGAGTTTCTGTGAGTCAAGTCTCACCCCTCTCATCTGTGATGGCATGGAGCAAACCCAGAGCCTTGTGCATGCAAGCTCTCTACCACTGCGCTACACCCTCAGCACTTGTGTTTTGTGGCAGGGTCTCTCAATCTTCCAGCCTCAGCCTCCTGAGTGCTAGGATTACAAGCATGAACCCCCGTGCCCAGCTCTATCTGTGAGATGTTTTGTTACAAAAGTCGTAACAAATTAAGCTAACATTCCACAGGCAACGGAAAGTCACTGGTGATCAAAAACAGAGAAAGAGTCCAGGAGGAAAACATGACATATGAGTAAATAATATAATTTCAGATTATGAGGTTATGGGAGGGCCACAGAATCAGGAGAGACAGTGAGTGGAAGGTGTTTCCTTATTTTAATTTTCTTAGCGGTACTGGGATTTGAATTCAGGGCCTTACACTCAACTAGGCAGGCACTCTACCACTTGAGCCTCCTGTTTTGGAGATAGGGTTTTGCCAACTATTTGTTTAGGCTGGATTTGAACTGAGATCCTCCCAATCTCTGCCTCCTGAGTAACTGGGCTTACAGATGTGAGCCACTGGCGCCTGGCTGAGATGTTTCCTTATATTGACCTTAAGGAAGGCCTGTTTGAGGAAGTGACGTCTGAGTTGAGCAAGGATGACAAGGACCAACTTCGTGCTTTTGAGGAAAGAACATTCCAGACAGACATGAGCTGCAAAGGGCCTAATGCAAGAAAAGTGTAGCAGGTGTGGGGCAAGCAAGGCCATGTGGGGACAAGGTGTTTCATGAGAGGTGGGGTGGAAGGTAAGCAGAGCCAGATGGCAGCTATGAGCTAAAAAGTCTTCCAAGGGTTTTAAACAGGAGTGGGGGGTGGCTTCATTTACCTCATAGGGATAAATTCCCTAACCTCTAATTTAGGAGACAGACAAGCAGGCAAAGAGTGTCATAGTGTGCAGTTTCTTTGGTAGAACTCAGGGCAATGTCAGTGCAAAGTCCAATTGTAGGTATTTATCAAGTGCAATTAAGCTGAAGTTTACTAAAGGATTTACTTAACCCTGCTTTTCTACCTCCCAAATGGTATTAAACAATTTTCAAAACACGGATTTCAGTCCTTTCCCCAACTTATTTATGGCGATGTTGATAGTGAGAACATACAGGATTTTACTTGAAACTAGGTAACTTCTTCCACAAAGGAAGAAAAACTTGCTGGGTGCTGGTGGCTCACGCCTGTAATCCCTCACTCAAGAGGCAGAGATCAGGAGGATCATGGTTTGAAGCCAGCCCAGGCAAATAGTTAGCGAGACCCTATCTCAAAACTACACATCACAAAAAAAGGGCTGTAGAGAGGCTCAAGGTATAGGCCCTGAGTTTAAGCCCCAGCACTACAAAAAACCAAAACAACAACAAAAAAACTTGGCAGTAAAGACATCCTCTCACAGTCCCAACATTTCATATGCAGCTCGTTCTTTTGCAAAGTGTTTTTGGGAAGGGGTGCCTTTCATTCATTTTATCTGCAGGCATTACAAACTTATTTATTGTAACGTGCGAAATGCGGCAGTTTGGGAAGGGACCACAAAGACTCTGGTGGCTGGTGGTGACCACTATGTGCAGGAGGAGGGAATCATGACATTATTTTCATGCTGTTCATCCTACTAACGCTCTCACAGATGGAGTCAGTATTTGAGGCTTGACGGTACATTTCCTTCGCGTGCTTCTTAATCCGGCCCATGCTACCTCACCTGGGCATCAATGTCTTCCCACTTTCCTACCCCCTCCCCACACCTGCGATCTGCTTTTTCATTGTCTGATCTTCTCTCTTTCCATTTTTGCACTGGATAGAGGACATCAGGTAGGAGCGGAAAAACAAAAAACGATCCAGCTCGGGGGTGACGCAGCTGCTGAACAAAAACGGGCCTTTGTGCAGCCGGGGAGGCCACCTGCGTGCAGAACAGAGCGCTTGCCTTTGCTAACAGGCGTCTGAATCTAGCTGCAACCTCTTTCGGTGCATTAAAAAGAATCCCAGGAAGGGAGCAGGGGTGTGTGCGTGTGTGTGAAACCCCGCCCTGCCAGCTACGCTCATTGCCCACTGGGGTGCCCAGGGCCCCCCAGCCCAGCCCAGCCCTGTCCAGTTCAGGCCCTGCAAGGGTCAGCCACTCCAGCAAGCCCAGCCAGGGCAGCACCTGCAAGGCTCTAGCGCGCAGACGGAGGCCCCGCCCACCGGCGGGGATTTAAAGGGCCCATGGGTCCACTCAGGCCCCGCCCCAGTAAGCCACGCCCACACATGGGCGGAGCTCCGGGAGGCCTAGTTCTCGGTGGGCGGGACGCCGCCGCCGCCGCTTTAAGCGGGGGCGGGACTGCGCGCGGCGCAGCGGCGGTGGCGGCGGCGCAGACTTCGCTGGTCGGGAGGGGGTGGTGGCGGTGCGGCTCGGGCTGCGGGCCGCCGGCCGGACGGCGGGCCGCCACATCCGGGGAGGTAAGCGCGGGGAGACGAGCGGGCGGGCGGGAGAACAGCCCCGGGAAGCGCGCGTGTGCCCTTGGGCGTGGGAGGCCTCTGCGGCGTGGAGGAGAAGGAAGGTGGGGAGGTGGGTACATGTGGGGACTTCGGGGTTGGCCGAGGTCCCCTCAGGGGACCGCCGGCGCTCGGGGCGGGGCCGGGTGCCGGCGGTGGAAGGCGCAGGGCCAGCGGTTGCGGGGATTGGCCCTCGGCGCTCGCCGTAGCGCGGCGGCTGGTGAGGCGGTAGCTACTCGGCGGCTGGCGCCGGCGACAAAAAGGAAGTGGCGCCCCGAGAGAGGGCCGTTTGCGGCCGACGAGGCTAGGCAAGGGGGTTGGGGCTGTTGTGTGTCCTTCCCTTCCCCGGAGGCATCCTCAGGGCCGCTGGCATCGCTCGGCCTCTCGCCGGCCCCGGAGCTCGCGGACGGCGGAGGTAGCGGCGCCACAGCGCCCCCTGCGGCCGGGAGGGCGCCGCGCCGGGCGGGCTGGGCGCGGAGCGCCGGGGGCGGGGCCTGTGGCGTTGTGGGCGGGGCGCCGGTCACTGCCTTCCCCATTTGGGCGGGGAAACGGGGATAAGAGGGCGGACTCCTTACCCGGT